GATTTTGCTTCAGGAACCGATCAGTACTGAGCAAATTCATCTTCCCTGATGATTCAGAAATTAAACACTTAGTTAGCAGTTTATTCTCATAAACAGCTCTTCCTAACGATTTAATATAATGATTTTTCGTATCATGTTTTTCCGCTTCTTTCCTTCCTGTCTCACTTTATTTGTTCCTTCGCGTATATCTATTTCTTTTTCTAATCCGTCTTGTAAATCAGTTACATGACTATTCAAAACAAGGTGGGTAGGAGGCTGTACTGATGATTCCTGCTCCTATCCGCATGCAGTGTTCGATCTGTGTAAACAGCTAAGGAATGAAACACAGACTGCATCATGTCTTCATACACATGACATTCAAGTGAGATCCTCCTATTCTTCTACTTCACGGATCCGTACGTAGGTGCCATGCAAACCCGGAGGCTGGGTTTGTGCTCATTAATACTCACTTGGATGGGAAACTTCCCCTTAAAATTCCAATCCTCTAGCTTCTCAGGTTCGCGAGTTAGCAACTTACACAAAAAAAACTTTGGCGAGCCCGTAAGTAGGTACCATGCATACTGGGTGTCCGGGTCTGAGTTCACTGAGACTTATGTGGACAGGAAACATCCCCTTAAAATTACAGCCTTCTAACTTTTCAGTTTTGCGAGTTAGCAGCTATCCAAAAAAAAAAACTTTGACGAATCTGTACGTGGGTACCACGCATACCCGGAGTCTGGGTTTGAGCTCATTGAGACTTAAGTGGACGGGGAATATGTTCTTAAAATTACAGTCTTCTAGCTTTTCAAATTCTCGAGTTAGCGATTTACCCGAGAAAAATTTTGGCGGGCTCGTACATGGGTCCCACGCATGCCCAAGGGGTGAGTTTGAGCACCATGAGACTTACGCCTTCTAAACTTTCAGTTTCCTGAGTTAGCAACTTACCCGAAAAAACTTTGGCGGGCCCGTATGTGGGTAGTACACGGGTGAAACCGCCCATTTTGGGGATGATGGCCTGTACATTAAGTTCCCAAAGTTTCAGCTCTGTAGCTTTTGTGGGTCTCGAGATGAAAAGCGGCACATAGGCCGAGCGCACACACGATAACCTCTCGTCAACATGCATTTTCTGCAATTGCATAGCTGCAAAAAACGCATAAAAATGAAGTAGGAAGATTTAACGAAGTCCCATCAGAAAAACGGCTCAAAATGTGAAAAAAAAAATGATAAACCTGTTAGCGACCAAAATGTGGGAAGCAATGCTGTTTTTCGCGCACAGAGTAGCTCCGTGCATTCGAAGTAATATTCGAGCATACGTTTTCTGCATTTTCGTTAAAGAATCGTCGAGATAAAAAGTTTGGCCATAAAATCGATCAAATTCCTCGTCTCTTAGCAGGCGCTTTCTCAATGCCTCTTCTGCAGCGGTGGGTTTCTTTCTCTGAAATACGGAAAACACGATAAGGCGCAAATTTTTTAAATTATCGTACTGTATTTTTCAAAATAAATGCTAGCTAAGTCTGACAATTATCAGAAGAATGAATGCTTCCATGTCATATCCAGCTACTTGCACATCGCTGCTGAAAATTTTAAATCCACCAATACATATTATCGAAGTGCACTAGTCGAACTGCAAAAATCAAATGTGGAGGATAGATAAAACGAAAGCTAAAACGAACTTGCGCGCAGCAAAGCGAAGCTGGGATGATCGCCATTAAAATCAGTGGGTCATTTCGGTCGTTTTTTTTTTTTTTTTTGAAATTATTTGAATGTGCTAAGTTCAAAAGTGGAGCGGATTATTCTCCAATCAGTGGAAGAAAAAGATGGCATGCAATTGTGCAACGAAGAGCTGTAGTTGCACACAATACTAAAGTACTGTAATCAAGATAAAACTCAGCACTACAACATTCCACGTAACACAGACAGCTAAAAGATGTAAAAACAACAGCTGCAGAGCAAGGAGAAAAATATCACTGCTGTAAAAATGTTAACATCAAAAAAATTAAAAAATTCACAAAAATGTTAAGAAAAACTGAGAACTAAAAGGAGTTAGATTAAAAAATCTTCGCAGCCTGCATGCTTAAAAGCTGTTTGTCAAAATAATGAAAAAAATTTCAACGAGATGTGAGATAGCTGCAGAAGGTGAGCAGCGAGCAGATGGAAAAATTTACTTCCGAAACTGACAGCATTTAATCGAAAAAAAATTTCATTCCATTGAAAGCTAGCACATAAAAACATGCCTTTGGCACTTTGATTTTTTCGAGTGTTGCGCTGACGCTAGCTACTGTGCACTTTCCTGAAGTGCTCGGCATTTCGGAATCAGCGCCAGTTCTATCAGCATCAAACAACGAATAGACTGAATCGTTAACCATATGAACACAATAATTCCCAGTTCTACAACAATCAAGTTTGATCCTACTCGATACAGAAAGGATGAGAAAAGTAACTGGAAACGAATTCTGATCAGATTTTTATGCGTTTTTTGCATCCATACAGTGCTGGAAACGCATATTGACAAGAGGTTGTCTGTGTGTATTTGTGTGTCTGTGTGTGCGTTGTGCGTCCGATTTTTCATCTCGAGACCCACAAAAGCTATAGGACTG